GAGGAGGCAACCACCACTGAGCTAGTAAGCCACTGCTAGGACAAAATCCTGTGTCCTCTGTGCAGCCTGACTCAGCCTCTCGTCCCTTCCTGGGGGAACATGTAGTGCTCAGCTCTCCCGGAGCGGGGAGGACAGAGACAGCCTCTAAAAACAGGCAGAGGTCAGGCTGCGCTGCAGTGATGCCAGCCACTGCCTTCGCTAGCTGCAGCTGTAAACAAATGAGTGAAAGAGGAACAAATGCCAAGGCACTGCCACCCTGGGCTGCCTCCCCTTCCCCAGCTTTGAAGCTTGGGGCAGTCATCTGTTCCTCTTCTCCCTCTGCTGATGGAGGTTTTTTCCCAACTGTAGCCATCCACCTTAGGTTAGGATTTTTAATTTTGGGGAAGGGGTAGTGGGTTAAGTATCGGGCGCCCCCCCCCCCCCCAGCACCACCATGACAAACCACAGTATTTCTGCTGGCAGATTACTAGAGAAGTTAATAACAGTATGTTTTCAAACCATGCACATGAAGATGACAGAAAAATAGACTGCTTTTTTTCCCCCCCCCTTTTCTTCCAGCTGTATCCTCTAAGTAGCAAGGCTTAGGAAGAAGGTAATGGGTCTCTCCCTCCACTGCAGGCACATGCCAGCCCAGCCCCCCTGCAGGACAGCAGCAGCTAGTGCTCTAGCTTCCTCTCAGCCGCAGGAGAGTCCCAGGCACGGGCAGGAAGGGGAGTAGTCCTCACCACCCAGTGCCCTTGGTGCTGCCGGCTGAGCAGCTAGCATGCTGGTGGGGAGCAAGAACCCCTGTGGGAGAGCCAGCGCCAGGGAAGCGACACTGACCGTTCCCCAGAGAACAGCCCAAACCAGAAACGGAGTCTTCCTTGAGCAAAGGGCGAAGGATAGACAACACAAGCACTGGCCTGTGTGTCTCATCCTGAGGGCTGCAGGACGTCACAGAGCCCAAAGACTTACCTCTTCCCCTGCCAGCAGGCAGCCTCAGGGAGAGGAAATAAGTAACTTCATAGTCCAAACGTGGGTGACTGTAGGTGGCCGTGAAAGGATGGGGCTGATGGTAAAGCAAGAGATGCTGCAGAGGAAAAGGCTCCCTGCAGCCTTTTCACTTGCACAAAGAGGCTGTGAAACGCTGGTGAACACCAGTGCTGGGGACTTGGGCTCAGCACTCCCTGATCTGCCCAGCCCCTGCACGAACCTGGGCAAGTCAGCTCTAACTGGGGTGAGCAGGGCCTTCCTTCTTCAAAGCACTGGGAGTCCCTCACCTCCTAAGACAGCAGTAGCAATGTCTAAGGTATTTACAGCGTTTGGTTTGCCGAGCCCACACACGAGACAGAATCACACATCAACTTCCAGCAGGAACCCAGCACAACCGCTAGCAGGAAAACCAGAGCAGCACCACAGCAGCTGTTAGATATAATATTTATTATATACAAACACATTTTGTACATTAATTAAATAGAATGAACTCTACTCTTCATTCAGCAAATGATTTGGTTCATTTCCCCCCCTCTCTCCCTCCCACCCACCCACTCCTCTTAAAAGCCTATGATTATTTCTTGCTCTCTTGTGCTCTGGCACATCTATGCCTGGAGAGAAGGAGCCAGATACCTATGAACCTCGTTCTGCTGCCCCTGGCTCCTTCCCAGGAAGGCTGGTTGCAGGTTTGGACATGCTGATCACTAGCAGACGCCCCCTATTTCCCCAGAGTAACACCCAGACCTCCTAAAACCAAAATAAAACAAGGAGTTTCCTGGGCAAGAAACGCAAAGAAAGTGAAGTGTGGGGTTCTGAACCCCTTTGGTACTGACAAGGGGTCTATCCATTCCTGATGGAAGCCACAGAAATGCACATGAGAGCCCTCCAAAGGGAGAGGCCTGTGGACTCACACAGATGCTGCTTAGCTATGCCGAGATGAGGCTGAAATCCAGGGACGCTTCCAGAGAGCAACCTTGCTCCCCTCCAAAAAGCAGGTTAAGTGCCCCAAACCATCTTTTCCCAGCGCTGCCCTTTTCCACCATGTATCTCCTTAAGCGTCTCTTCTCAGAGCCCCACAGGCCTGAGCCTTTCCTGCACTGCTCCCCATTTGCAAGAGCTCTGCTCTACCTACAAGCATAAACCCTCCTTCCAGTCACACACATGTGGGTCCAACCCACCCTCAGGGGTAGGTGATCCCTGTCCCAAGCCCCTAATTCAGCCCTGCAGTATCCAAGCCAGCCAGCTGTATCATACAAGGGTGAGACAAGTCTCAAAGCCAGCTTCACCTCTTCTGCCAAGAAAGAGAGGGAAAATTAGTTGAAGTTTCTTGGCTTTAGTGCTTTGGTTCTTCGTTACACCATCTCACACAGCAGTTCAGCCTCATGAATAGCTGATCTCTCCTCAGGAATGGAGCTGATCTTAGAATGCAAACGTGTCCCAGTTAAGGGACAAGGCACTGAAAAGCAAACTATACCACCTACAGCTGCAGGTGTTGAAAGTAGAGTTGTACTGAGACAGAGCTGCTCTCCTCATCCCAAAAATCTCTGAAGATAATGAAGCTGCAGATAAGTTCTGAGTGGATACTATTTGAGGTGAGTTGCCTCTGGCAGAAGTGGCCACCTTATGCTGGCCACATACATTTAAGAGTAGCCAAATTCAGAAAGCCCTTGTAGATGTCATCAGCAACAGGAAGGACAGCATTTCTCCAGGGCTGACCAGAACATGAATACACCCCACTCCTTCCAAGCCTGGCCAAATGCATCCACGCTAGGATGGAAGCTCTAACTTGGGCATGGCAGTTTCCAACTCCCAAACCCACTGACTAAATAAGTGTAAGGGCAGAAAAGATGTGAGTGAACTGCAGCTTCTGCTTTGGTTATTGCCCAGATTTGCTCTGATATGAGTAGATCTAGTGTTGGGGAAGGTCTTAGTTACTCTTTCC